TCCCCCCCCCCCCCCCCCCAGGTATATTTGAAAGCAGTCAACGCCACGCTTGCCTGTTCCTGGCCATCTCCTCCAATCTTTCCACATCTAGGCCCTCAGTGATTGTCTTATCCCCGGTTGTGCTTCTTTAACTTCCGATTGGTCTACCTTTTTTTCTTTTCCCAGTTGATCTCCAATACCACATCTGATAGGGCAACCTGCACAACGTACCCCTACACTAAATTACCATAATTGCGACTCTTTACTCAAACAAACAAACAAACGCAAAGACAGAAATGAGAGACTTGACTCCGACAATGCTTACCTCACAATCTCAGACAAGAAGGAAGAATCCATGTTGACCTTCCTAATGAGACCACGAACAAAAAACGAACTCAGAACTGAACCCTAACCCTCCGTCCACGGCCATATGGTCCGACATGCCCTGGACTTCAACTCTACACTTTCACAAAGGGACGGATCCGATTTCAGAAAAATAATCCAAACACGGTTCTGCGAAACTCTTCTCAGAGTGAAACTCACACCAAACTGACACACGCGCGAAAAAGACCTGAATGATTGATGGTGCGCACCGCCGTGCACTATTGCTATCACAAACGCACCAAAGTGGGATCAAGAACTGTACACCAAGACTGAAGTTCCTTGTCGATCTTGGCTATACACTTGCACTAGAAATAGTCCTATATCCAGAACAAAGAAGAACAAACAAGACGTATTTGTTCATTCAGCTCCTGGAGTGTTTTGCATCAGTACCACGAGGGCATTCATCTATATCACAGAGCTATATTTATAGGAGAGGGTTGGGAAAGAGGGAGAGGTGGGGAGGGAGGGGGGGAGATGAGAAAAACATATCATGTACTGTATATTCAGTTTGGACTACTATGTACGTCTATCAAGACGAAAGAAAAAAAGGCTCGCGCGCGTAGTTTGATTTTTCCCAACTGACAAATTGTGGCGCGCAGAGAGGGAGAGGAAAGAAAAGAGAGGGGGCGGGGCGGAAGGGGCAGTAAAAGGTAGGGCAGAGAGAGGGGGGGAGAGAGAGGGAGAGAGAGAGAGAGAGAGAGATAGAGAGAGAGACAGGGAGAGAGAGACACAGAGAGAGAGAG